ACACACACATACACACACACACACACACACACACACCCCACTGGGAGGCACACACACACACACACACACACACCCCACTGGGAGGCGCACACACACACACACACACCCCAGTGGGAGGCGCACACACACACACCCCAGTGGGAGGCGCACACACACACACACACACACACACCCTGCAGAGGCCTGGAGGACAGGGCTGAGAACACTGGACTGGGAGGCTGCGCCGTTCAAAGCCGGAAGAGTACCCTCCACTGTATTCGGTCAAGTGGGGCTCAAGCTCAGTGGGAGGTGAGGCCGCAGGAGAGGTCGGGTTCTTCTGAGACACGGGCCGCCCTTCCGAGCACCCGCGCCAAGCGCAGCATCACATCGCGCTTAGTGCTAACTGCGGCCCCCCGTCGCTCAGCAGCGCGCCCGGATGCAGCAAGTGCTTGGTGTTTTTGTTAACGGATGGGTGAACTGGTGACTGGACGAGCAGATGACTGAATGAATACTTTACCGGGAGGAGAGCTGAGGAGGAACACTAGGCTTTGATCTCAGCTGGCATGTCACTGTTTTAATTGGCTCAGACAGAGAGCTACATAACTCGACCAAATATCCTCTGCAAGAAACATCAAGATCTCAAATTAATTCCCCGAAAAGCAAAACATTAATGATGTGTCAACATTCAAGGCCAAAGCTAAGGCACTTGTGCAGAAATAGATGAAAAGTTGACCTGGCAAAGGCCTAGTGAGGTGCAGTCCCACATCTGCCGACTGGTTTTGTTTGCTCAAAGGTGGAAAAGTAGACAGAAGGCCCATTGTGGAGTTGTGAGAAAAATTAACTAGATGACAAAACGTTAAAACCTCTGATTATGTAATACTTTCCCTTAAATATCGGTGACTCTGCAGCTGCCAGTAAATGGGACTGCATTGTAAACATTTTGCATTTAGACACTGCTCAGGTTTAGCTTTCACAGGAAAATTTAATTGTGTTAGGGACATTTTTAAATGAAAAAAACAGAAGAACTGTGGAAAAGGCTGTGAAAAACTGATTACTGCCCTAAGGACCTATGCTTTTTCTCCTCAATGGTATACTGAAAACAATAGTGTGACCTTGAAAGGTAGGAGAACACTTACATTCCCTGTGAAAATACCCAGGTACAGGGCATGGACATTATTCCAGAGCATTCCTAGTAACCCATTCATTTGCCACTGAAGCAAAGGTGACTGGGCTGCCACAGGAGCCAGCCTTCCTCAGAGATGTTTCCTGATGTCAGGAGAACTGCACACTGCCCTACATTCACACATATGCAGATGCCACAAGTCCAGCCCACCTCCCTCACGTCCAAGTCCCGTGCTTTTTGCAGTTCCCGCCACTGTCCCTGGAAAGCAGAAAGGGGGTCAAGCACAGCTCGCCTCTATTAGAAGCAGTAAAGACTGGTCCTCACCACACAACTCCTCCACAGCTTCCACACTGCAACTTTTGCTAATTATTCCAGTTTACTTTGTCTTGTAATTTATATTGACATTTAACTAAGTAAAAACTTATGGAGATAAAATAATAAAATTGTTGTTTGTCTGGTGGGTGCCAAGCCTTGGGCTGGAAACCACGAGTTAGTGCCTCACTGGACACACCTAGTTTGCTGTATGGCACTAAATGTCCCCATTTCATTGCCAGTGAAGGTGAGGTGCAGAGGATGGTGAAATAGGCTTAAATTCCAAAGTCCTAGCTTTCTCTAATCTACCAGGTGGCTCCATTTAACGTGTCCCTTTGAGATATATTTGTTAGACATGATTTTGTCACATCCCGATTTTCCTCTGTTGTCTAAACTATTTTGAGTTTTTAAATCACCCCTCAGGATAAGCTTTCTGGAAATTCAAGAGGATGCTTGAACAGGGGGAGGACAATATGGCCAGGAGCTGGCTGCCCAGGGCCATGGCTTATGGTGATAAGTAATATGGGCAGAATACCGAGGAGGAGGTAGGGGAAGAATTGTGCGGTCTGCACACAGGAAAGCAGAGTGAGAATACAGCTCACAGCAGCAGGATTCAGGCTCAGTCTAAACCCTTCAGGATAGTGGTGTTGACTTTAACAGATTTGGAGCTAGAAAGGGCCTTACACTCGGTGTTTCACAGGCAGAAACCTGGGCCTCAGCAAAGGAAAGCGACTCACCCAAGTCTGCAGTTAATAACAGAGACAGGGCATGAGCTGGGGTGTCTTGGTGGCTTCTCCTGATCCTTTTACCTGCACCTGCTTTCATGGAACAACCCTAAAACCTGTCAGCAGGCAGCCAGGCAGGTGGCCAGCGCCTGGGGAGGGACTGGGGCAGGGCAGCGCGGCCCAGGTCACAGCCAGCCCTTCTCCCGGGCCCTTGCACTTGGGTGTCATCGGAGTGTGTCGCTGTGCTATGCTCCCCCTGCCGCGCAGGCATGCGTGAGCCCACACCTATGCGGAGCCTGGTGAATGTCTTGACTTTTATGAAGTGCTTTGACCACAGTGAGGACATTTATTTCACAGGGGAAGAAACTGAAGTCCAGCGAGATTGATGGTCCTGACCGATCATCTAATTGGAACTGACAAGCCAGGCTTTGGACGTACACTTGTTGGGCTCTGAGGCCCCTGCTTTCTCCACTTCCAGGATGTCTCTCCCTGAGACTTGCGCAGACAGGACAGCTCATTCCCCCACCGGGACGAGGAGACGAGGGACTTCCACAGAATGAGAAGTCTCCCCATAACTGAATTTTGTAAGTACGACACATTTAAATTTTATTTTGATGATTTACTTAATCAACAAAACTAAGTGTTTTATTAACTACTAGGGTGTTTACTTACTAAACAGTGCATTACACTGTGTGCTATTCTAAGCACTTTCCATACATTAAAATCTTTTATCTTCTTAACAGTTATGTAATATAGGTACTATCATTATTCCAATTTTACTGATGAGGACACTGAGGCCCAGAGACAACAGGTAAATTATCTAAGATTGCACAGCTAACAAGCGGAAGAGTATTTAAATCCAGTCTAGAGTCTGAGCTTTAACCACTAGGCCATACTTCTTTTATTCCATAGAAATCTTAGCAGAGAATACACCTATCTTGGCTTCCCTCCACCGAGAATAGTGGGGCCAGGTAAATTCTCCTTGTAATTCCAGGCCACTCAGGTGAACTCGGAGCATCCCCCCTATGAGGGCACACCAGTCAGTTTCCCCTAGACTGCCCCAGACCGGTATTCTCGGGGGTTTCTGATTTTTACAGCTCTTCTATCTATTTCTTCTGCTATCTTCTGCCACTTCCTATGGCTAGTAATACAGTAGAATACATCATTCTTGACCTTGTTTTATAAATATGATCAGGCTCTGTGTCTCTGCAGGGTTCTCGAACACTCTGACAGTAATCTGCATGAGCCTTGTGACAGCCCCTCCTTCCCTTAGGCTGTTTATTGGAGGATGCAGTGGCAGGGGGCACCCCACTGTGTAAGATCCTGCTCTAAGGGATCCCTGGTTTAAGCCCTGGGAGGGAAATATCAGCTGGGTGGGGGTGGGGAGACGGTGTGGAGCTTTTTTGGTGGAGGAAGTCACACATACACAGACACGCCGGCCGGTCCTCTAGGGCACAGTCCATCTCACCACTGAAACATGCCTCCCCGCCAGGCCTGGTACTGCAGCAGGCGGGACTCCCCCACAGGGAAGCGGAGACTCCACAGAAGGAAGAGCCAGGCCTTGAGGCAGGCTTTTGACACTTCACGATGGGCAAAGTTTTCGCTTTCAGCAATGCTGTGAAAAACTGTTTCTCACGGTCACCCTGAACTTTGACTCAGAGCCTAAATAGCTGGCAGAGGCGTGGCTGGTTCTGAGGTTTCACTTGGCAGAAGCGTCCTTCTAACCCCTGGGTCTGCAGCCTGCTTCCTCTGAGGTGGGGGGTTTTGGGCCCTGGGTCAGAATCCCCCAGGGTCACCTCTCCTCTGCTCCTCTGCTCTGGGTCTCAGCACACCTGCAGTACAGAGTCTCCTCTGCAGAAGCATCGCCCAGGTACCTGTTAGAAGTGCACATTCCCAGGCTCCACCCGAGACCCACTGAACCAGAACCCGGGGTGGGCCCAGTGAGCTGTGCTTTAACAAGTGCTGTGGGGACTCGGTAGCACTCTTGGGTTTGAGAACCACTGAGGTAGAAAAAGGGAAACTGGACAAGGGACCCAGACAAAAGGAAGCAGTGCCCTCATGGGCAGTCCTCGGGCAGGCTGAGGTTGGGGAAAAGGCACCATCCTGTGGAGGCACTGCCCCACCCTCCCCGCTTCCAGGCGCCACAGCTGCAGGCTGGCACCCGCTGGCCCAAGGCTCAGGCCCCACACTCCCGGGGTGGGGGCAGGGGCAGGAAGGGCTGTGGAGGCCTCCACCTTCCAGCTGATGTCCTCACCCGCTGAGGACATAAGGAAGTCCATGACGCAGCCTCGGGCGGAGTGCGCTGCAGGCCCCAAGGAAGCACAGCGGACCAGGGTGTCATCCCTACAGAGCCCGTTGGCTGCCTCTTGCTCTGCCCTTGGAGAGGGCATGAGAAATGCTGCTCCCGGTGCTCGGAAAATAATCATCAGCCCAGCCGGGCCAGGAGGTGAGTGGCTGAAGGCCCCTGGAGGATGTGCTTCAGTCCACTGGGCTTGAGCCAAACAAAGGCATGCAAGTCTGCATGGGCTGCCGTATAAAACACAGACGGGGTGGCTTAAGTAGGTAATTTACTGCTCACAGTGCTGGAGGCTGGTCGTCCAAGATGAAGGGCCAGCAGGTTGGTTTCTCTTAAGGCCCCTCTGTCCTCTCGTGACCTTTAGTCTGTGTGTGCACCCCTGGTGTCTCTTCCTATTCTTACATGTAATCCAGCCTTATCAGATCATGGCCCACCCTTGTGGCTTTATTTAACTTGAATTACCTCCTTAAAGGCCCATCTCCAAATACAGTCACACTGGGGGATGGGGATTCATCACGCGAATCCTGGGTGGAACGCTAATGCGAAAATGGCAGGCATCCTGAAACAATGATAACAAGGTACTGACTCCATGAGGATTTATCACGTGGGCCATTCCCCCACCAGCACGCTCCACAGTCTCTGTGACACATAACCAGTACTCGGTGAACATACACTAGAGAAACTGAATAATCGGTGAGCATTTTGGTTTATTTTTTGTGTCAACTTGACCGGGCCACAGGGTGCCCAGGCATTTGGTCAAACACTCCGGGTGTTTCATGAGGGTGTTTTTGGATGAGATTAACATTTACATTGGTAGAACAAGTAAAGCAGATTGTTCTCCCTAGTGTGGGTAGGCCTTGTCCAACCAGTTGAGGGCCTGCAGAAAAAGGCTGACTTCCCTGGAGTAAGACGGAGTTTCTCCCGCCTGACTACCTTCTGACTAGGGCGTAGGCTTTTTCATGCCTCTGACTTGAACTGAAACATCAGCTTCTCCTGGGTGCCTAGCCTGCCCTTCTTTAGATTGTGATCATTCAGACTGGAGCTTACCTACCTGCTTCCCTGGGCCTCCGGGTTGCTGACTCACCCTGCACATTTGGTGACTTGCCTTCATAATCACATAAGCAAACTCCTTATGACAAATCTCTTTTTACATGTGTATATACATAGACATCCTATGTGTCTCTGGGGAATCCTGACTAATATGGTGAGTTAATTCACTTTTTAGCACTGAAGTCTGGGGGAAATTTTTCTTGCAAGTCTCAAAGAACATAGAGTAATATAATGAATATAATGAAATGTATGTCAGTAGTATTGTTTTGGTAAATTAGAAAGTATTAACAAATGAGTTTCTCAAAGTCTAATGTGCATATGAATCAGGCCCAGCTATGAAGAGTGATTCCGGCCATCTGCGGTGGGGCCTGAGTGTCTCCTGGGGCCGGCGCTTCGCCTTAGCCCTGTGTGCGTGGTGAGCGCTGAGTGTCTCTCACTGCCACTCAACGGAGAGAGGACTAAGGACTTGTGGCGCTGCCCTGCCAACTGGAGCCACCTTCCCTCCTGCCCTTTCTGTACTTGGTATAGAGGCCACAATAGTTGAAGTTCTGCTGTACTGTGCTTCAACTAGCCCAGCTGCTTTGAATACAGCTCCCCATTCTTCCATCTATCACCCCAAAGACTGCCCGGGGGTCACTGCTCAGCTCTCTGTATTCCGTGGCTATAAATCTGAGGCTCCTCTGGGGTCCCCTGGGACTGTGTCCACACCTTATTCCTGTGGTGCGGATGCAGTCTCTCCTGCTTTCTTCTCTTCCATCCATCCAGTTCAATCTGTATTTTATTTCACAAGATATCTCAAAATATCTGGCCCACTGCTGGCTCCCCTCTTTATTTTTAAGCAAAGTTACATGTTTTTTGCCAATTCAAAGGGTACTTGGGGAACAAGAAAAGTAGTTACAAAGTTCAATCCACTTTCTTGATCCAGAAACCTGGGCCACTTTCAAAGGCTCTGCATGTGGTTCTTAAATATTGTGCTGAATCAACAAAGAACATGTTGCCAAACTGAAAATCTTGTGCAGTTGGCTGCTTCTCCACCATAGCTCTGAGCTAGGGTGTGCAATAAAATGAGAAGACATAGAGTGCTTTAAATCATTTTTATCAAAGCAACATGCACTTAGAAAAGATGCACACCAGCAGGGCTCGGCCCAATGAATTCCTTAGGCTGAGCACACCCACGTAACCAGCATCGGAACCAAGAAATTGATCATTGCCAGCGGTCGGAGGCACGCCCTGCCCTGCATCCTCTCCACTCACTCCCACCTCCCAAAAGTCACACCCATCTCTATTTCTGTTACACAGTTTGGGGCATTTATATAAAATGGAATCAAATTGCATAGGATTGTTAGTGTTTCATTTCTTTGGCTAAACATTATTTTTGTAAGCTATACCCATGTTTCAGTGTATAAATGCGTCCATTCTCATATCTGTATAGTACTCAATGTACAAATGAACTGCAACTTATCTGTTCTGGTCTTTTATAAATGGCTTTGTTGAGAAACAATTTACATATGATTCACCCATTTATAGTATACAATTCAATGATTTTCTGTATACTAACAGGGTTGTGCAACCATCACCACAATCTAATAATCTAATTTTACAGTATTTTTGTTCTCAGTAAAAGAATCCCAGAAACCATTAATAGTCAGTCTCCACTTTCCCCACGCACTCCTCCCCGACTCAGCTCTGGGCAATCACTACCCTGCTTTCCAGCTCTGTAAACCTGCCTATTCTGAATTACATGTGAATCATATGATACACGGAGTTTAGGGACTGGCTTTGTTCATTTCATACAATGATTTTGAAGTTTGTTGTAGCAAGTGTCAGTACTTCCTTTCTCTTTCCTCGTTAAATAATATTTGTACAGATACTCTGCTTTTTATTTATTCATTCATAAGTTGATGGACATTTGGGTTGTTTCTACATTTTTTACTATTATGAATAATGCTATAATGAACATGGCATGTAAATTTTTATGTGCATGTATGTTTTCATTTTTCTTAGGTATAGACCTAGAAATAGATTCAACGGGACCTGTGATAGACTCTTTGATGACCTACCAAACTGTTTTCCAAAGCAGCTGAACCATTTTACATTCCCACCAGCAATATATGCAGGTTTTTTTATTTCTCCACATCCTCACCAATATTTGTTACTGTTTGTCTTTGATTACAGCCATTCTAGTAGGTGTGAGGTGGTCTGGTCTCTTGGTACACGTTTGATTTTGCCTTTCCCTGATAACTAATGACATTCAGCATTTTTTCATGTGTTCCTTGGCCATTTATATATCATCTTTGGAGAAATGTCTATTCAAAACCTTTGCCCACTGTTTTTAATACTGAGTTGTAGGGGTTCTTTACATATTTTGCATACAAGTTCCTTGGCAGCTATATGATTTTCAAGTATTTTCTTCGATTCTATGGGTTACTTTATCATTTTCTTGATAGTATTATTTGAATCACAAATTTTTTGAATTTCATGGAGTTGTTTGTTTTCTTTTTTGTCACTCATGATTTCATGTCATATTTAAGAAACGTGTGTAACCCAAGTTCAGTAAGATTTAGTCCTTTTGTTTTTACAAGAGTTATATGGTAGCTCTTCTTACCCTTATGACCCATCCCAAGTTGATCTTTTTTTTTTTTTGGTATGGTATAAGGTAAGGATTATTCTTTTGCATGTAGATATCCCTTTTTCCCAATACTATTTGTTGAAGAGACTATTTTTCCCAAATGAATGATCTTCACACATTTGTCTAAAATCAATTGAGCATAGGTGTGTGGGTTTATGCATGTCTTGATTCTCAGTTCTACTCCACTGATCATGTCTATCTTGAGTCCAGTACAACACTGCCTTGATGACTTTATTTCTGTTGTATGTTTTAAAATCAGTAATGGTGAGTCTTCCAATTTTGTTTTGTTTTTTTTCAAGTTGTTTTGGCTGTTCTGGGTCCTGTGCATCTCCATAAGAATTTTAAGAAAATCCTGTCAATTTTTGCAAAAAGGGGATTTTGAAAAGTTGAGTTGAATCAAATATGTAGATCTAGTTTGGAAGTCTTGCCATATTGGCAATTTTAAGTTTTCTATTGCATAAACTTACATGTTTTCCATTTATTAAATAACTCACTTAATCAGTGTTTGTAGTGCTGGTATACAAGGCTTGCACTTCTTTTGGTCTGTTTCATTTATTTCTCCTGATGTTACCATAAATGGCATTTCTTTCTTAATTTCATTTTCAGGATGTTCCTTGCTAATGTACAGAAATGCAACTGAGTTGTATATATTGATCTTATGTCCTGAAAAATGCTGAATTTTTATTAGCTTATTAACAGATTTTTTTAGTGGATTCCTTTGGATTTCCTATTTATAATATTATGTCAACTGGGAAAAGAAATAGTTTGATTTGTTTTCCAATCTGGAGGTCTTTCTTTTTTTAATTGGATAATTGCCCTGTTTAGAGCTCCCAGACCAATGTGGAAGACGAATGACATCCTTGTCTTATTCCCGATCCTCAGTGAACTTTTTATTTAGGCTCTTATACTTTTCAACTCTTGGACTTTCTCTCTCTTTATTGGGGTTCTCTGTGTGGGGCAGTGTCATCTGCTTCCTTTACATTTTTTAAAGCATCGATTTCTTTAGCTCTTTGCAGGTATTTATCACAGCTGCTTTGAAGTCTTTCTCTGCCAAGTTCACCTTCAAGGGCAGTTTCTAATGCTGGTTTGTTTGGGTTTTTTTCACCCTATATACAAGTCATCCATTCTTGTTTATTTGCACATCTTATAATTTTTTGTTGGAAACTGGTCATTTCAGATAACATATTGATTGTGGTGACTCTGTACGCTAACCCCCTTCCAGGGTGGTTGCTGTTTGCCTGGTCATTTCTTTCTGTCGTTAGTGACATGGCTGAAGCTAGACCTATTACATCTATTTCCTTTGCAATGTGCAGTTTCTCTTATTCCTGCTCAGACTTTCTACCACATTTTCCATCGTGTAACCTTGCTGTGTAAGGGTCACCCTAGGATCGGCATAAGCTCCTCATTGGTCAAAGGCTGTGCTTCAGTCCCCTTAGCCAATCATATTTTTACACTTTATCATCAGATGGGTGCTGCTGTCACAGCTTCAGGAGTTTAGGCTTTCTGCCCCATGGGTGGCAGGGGCTGGCAGCTCGGAGGCTCCCTCTGTGATAACCCCTGAGAGAGAGCAGCCTTGGGTTTACACGCAGGCTTCTAGGCTGCTGGGGCTGAGTGAGATTTTAATCATAAGCTTGGCTTTCTAACAGCCCCTGGGTCAGAGTCTGGCTCTGTCGGTTTGCACACAGACTGTGTTTAACCCTTTGGTACCAAGGAGGCTTCTGCCCTGCATGGATGGTCTGTGTGTTCTCTGGAGGGTGCGTGTACCACACTGCACGTCCTGCTCTGACCTGCTCCTGAGAGGCTGCTGTCTACACACACTCTCAGCTTCCCTGGCCCCAGAGCTGACTGTGATCCCGGGAAGGCTCTGCTTGGCCATCTCTTTTCCTGGTTCTTTTTATTAAACTTCTGGCTGCTCTCCCATTTACATGTATCTCGGAGCCCCCTCTTCATTATTACTCTCCACCAAGAGCTCCATTTTATCGACACCCTTAAGAACAGATTTCTCCCATCCTGCTCCAAAGAGCCAGTCTCCTTAGCAAGAGCCATGGGGCTCTTCATCCTTACGGCCTGCCTTTCCTCTGGGGCCCGGCTGGACCAGTGCTGTGGGTGGGGACCCACTGTGCGCAGGCTGACGCCTCTCTCTACAACGGGCACTCGGGAAGGGGCAGCCTGGTTTTCTCAGCTTGCCCTTCCAGATGTGGAACCTCTGCCAACAAGCCCGCCGGGGTGGGTGCCATAGAAGCCCCAGTAGTCTCACCTGCTCAGCTGGCATAGGGATCCCCCATGAGCAGTAGGGGCCTGGTGGGGGAAGAGGACAGCTCTGCTCTGCCTGCCCAGAGCAGGTTCTGTACTGGGCGCTGGGGTGATGAGAGAGAGGGATTGCTGCCTGCCCCTCCTGGCATGAGGCCGCAGCCCCACCTGGGCAGCTGGGGCAGAGGGAGCCCCTTCTGGCTGCACCCACCCAGAGGAGAGCCCCTGTAGCACTGTGCTGGGGGAGGGGAGGCTGATGACGCCCGCAGTGGCTCAAATGCCACAGAAGCTCGCTGATTATAATGGAGGTTTAGTACATTTTCCTGAATTAGTGTTTTTCCATTTGCTCTGCAGAGACTTAAAATGATTGTTATCTTGCATGATTCTCACTAGGTTGTTATTACTCTACTGGAAAGAAGTTGTGCCAAGTTCCTTGTCTCATCATCTGGAAGTTCAACTTCTTACGGGTTCTACTATTGATTGGTATTTGGGCTGCTTCCAGTTCGGCGCTATTATAAAATAATGCTTCTCTGGCCAGCCTTGCACATATCGCCTGATGGACAGACGTACACCTTTCTGCTGAGAGCACACCTAGGAGTAACTTACTTGGCAACAGGGAGCCAAGCTTCTACCTTTAATTGTTGATATTATCAAAATGCTTTTCAATGAAATTGTCCCTATCACACTCCCAATGTAGCCAAATTTATCAATATTTGCATAGATGGTTTTTTAGTGGATTAAAAATATTTGAAAATTATAAGTATTCAGTTGTGAACCCAAATTTTGAAAGTGATTAAAAGAAGACAATAAAAAAAATCTGTTCTATTTTTTCTAGCATATTCTATTTGTGGAAGAGTGAAAAAATAGCATTTATAGTTTCTACATCCAAATACCTGTGTCCCACATATCCAACACAGACTGTCTAGCCAAAAAAATCCTCCTCCCCCTCAAATCTCAGTTGATGATAGCGCCTGACGGTTTCCTGAGAACCATCTGCGGGGATCTGCCCGGCCTCACCGCTTCGCACACTCAGGCCTCCCTGAAGAGGAGATGCAGCATCTCTGCCCCAGGTGCTCACATCAGTAGTGCTGGGCTCTCCGGCTTCTCCCAGGCCCCACTCTCCACTTTCTTCAACATTATTCCCTCTGTCCAGATTCCAAAAATCCCAGATTCATGTCTGGACTATTTTTCCTTCAGAGATGACAACAATCCACTTCCCTTCTTTGGACCCTCGGTGCACCCGAGTCCGGGCGGGCCTTCTGGCGCTCTTAGCCTCGCTGTTGTCCATCATGGATATGTGGCGGGCTCCCCAGCATCATTTCTAGATTTCCCCTGGGGCAATGTTAGAGAACTGAGCTCAGATCAAGTTGTGGGAATCATCGGTCTAAGAGTGATTCCCTCTCCTTCGCCAAAGAACTGTGTCATGATGAGCATGTCATAAAATTTGGGCTAATGAATTGTGAGGAGAGGGCTGCTAGACACTTCTTAAGAAAGTCTACGGTCAGTCTCTCTCTTCTCTCTCTGTCTCCGTGGATGTGAACAAGGCAGCAGGGCCCCTGGGTCTGTTCCTGGCAGATGTGTGTAAAATGGGCCAGGCTGGAGGCAAGGGGGATGAAGTCAATAACACGGATGGCAGAGCAGAAGCTGGAAAGAACTGGAGCTTATTTATAATCGCTGAACACAACAGCAGCGAACACTGAAGTTTCCCCTCTGACATGAGTTACTGGAGATAAAAAAAAAATGCCTTATTGTCTAATCCAGTGTGAGCCAGTTTTCTTTTGCCCGCAGCCGAAAGAATCCTAGTAGAATAATTAACTTCTTTGAGTTTCAGTCTTTGCTAGTGGAAGAGAAATAATGGCTGCCTCTTAGAATTTTTGTAAGAAAATTTTGTAAAAAAATTCATTAAATTGCACATGGGACCCCCCCTGGGAACCTCCCCCATTAAAACACCAGACACATGGTAAGGACATGTCAGTTTCTGTTACATGAATGAATGAATGAGGCAATGCATGAAGAAATGGCTCTTTTTGACAGCAGGAGAAGTAGGAGTCATCAAGTTCTAATTCTGCTGGCACATGAGCGCCAAAGGTCAGGGTTCCTAGACGTTTTCTGCCCAGGTAACTAGGTACCCAGAATAGCACACGGCACGCATGTTAGCCAAAAAAATCCTCCTCCCCTCAAAATTCAGTTGACGACACAACCTGGCGGTTTACTGAAAAGCACCTCCAGCGGTCTGCCTCGCCTCACCGCTTCGCACACTCAGGGGTCCTGCATACTGCAGTTTGCAAGCTCTTGAGCGAGAACAAAGCCAAGTCGATGGCTTCAGCAGGTGCTAGCAAGCACCCCATGTGCCCAGCATGGTGAGGATGCGGGGCTGCAGCCGTGAATGAGCTTGTTTCTGAGGGACACAACTGATGACAATTCAATAGAAGAGAAGGTCCAGCGAGCAGCACACACAGTGCCATGAGGGGCTGGGGAAGCTCCACAGAGACTGGATCCGAGGGAGGAGCAGGAAGATGTCGGGAGGAGAGGAGAGGCAGCTTGTGTGTTCAGCAGACCAGCGGCGGCATGTACGGTGTCTGGTTCCTGGGTGAGCCGCAGAGCTGAGTCCAGCCCGAGGAGGGCAAGAGGCAGGATACGACAGGGAGGCAGTGGTCAGGCTGCGCGTTCCAAGGCAGTGACTTTGCTTCCTTCCCTTAGAAAAGCAGGAGCTTTTGAACAAGGCCACAGATGCCCTAACAAGATCTGCAGAGAAGCACCCTCCGGAGCTGCAGGCTCTGCGTGGGTGTAGGACCTGTGCCGTCCTGGAGGGGGGCCAGGGTGTGACCAGAACTGCGGGCAACGGCAAAGCAAGCTTCAACCCTTAACTTTGTTCTCAAACGCCGAGGAAGCATTGAGTTCTCCTCAGGTGAAGTCAGTCAGAGGTGTGCCTGCCCTTTGGCTTCTCTCGAAGGGACGGTCTGAGCAGTGCTGGCTGCGCCCCTGAGAGGCTGGCCTCCTGGCCAGAGACTCGAGAGGCCCCGCCACGGCCTGCCGCCGGGTACGCGCAGGTGAGTTCTTGCTCACTGTACACTGAGTCCCTCAATAAAGCTGCCAGAACTGGCCCACTTTTACAGACCCCTCTCTAATAGAAATAAGTTAGAGAGTTTTAAAGTTGAAAAAGCTACTTTTGTACAACAAGGAAGACATGATACTTAAAACTGAGATAGGAATCGAGGAATTTACCTATTAATACCTTAAAAAATCACTGCAATTTATGTTTCAGTTGCCATGTGAGCACTTAGACACCAGAGCCCCTTAATTCCATAAGAGTCCCTGGAGGCAGCTTTTATTAACCCCGTCTCACCATTGAGAAACTGAGGTCCAGAGGTCATGCTTGACTCAAAACAGCTGGTGACCCTGAACCTGCCTTCCTCGGGCTCCAGGGGACGGAATCCTCTATCTGTGGTTGGAAGATACAAATGCCATTTTCCAGCCATCAGACTGTGCAGAACTAATATATCCCCACCTCCCTTTCTGCAACCCTTAAAAAACATCCTCAGCCTAGGTCCCAAGGTGTCCCTGAGGAACCACGGGAGAGATGACGTGCATCAGCTTTGAAAATAACTGAACACAAGACGTTGTCTGGTGCTTTATTCCAGCTGGCCCTCCAACACTCCCTGACACTCGTGATGGGGGTTGGTGCTGGCCTCCGTAAGCAGGTATCTTCAGGAAACAATTAATCTCCCCTGTGACACAAGAAGAGGGAGGGTGCGGGGCATGCCCAAAGGCAGAACATGAGGCCCACAAGTTTTTATGTGCTCGGAAATGACAAAAGATGGTATCGTTCATCATATCTTAAATCCTGTTCTTTTTAACCAACATGCATGCAATGCTTTCATAAGGTATGGTTACCTTTAGTGTCATTAGTGAAACTTAACATTTCCAACGTAGATTATTAATAATTGCCATATACCACTCAACCTCAATTATGCTACTGAGGACCCATACTCCATACCTGTTATTTGCTATAAAACTTTTTAATGTGTGATTGTAATAGAAAAAATTAGCCTAAGATATTAAAAGAACAGACCTTTGAGATTTTTCTTTTTTCCTGAAGTGAGGAAATACAAAGAAAGAAGCTACTTTAAGGGTGGTGGCCTGGGGCTTGAGAGGGGAGGCCAGCAGTATCGCCATTCACCCAGTCCTACCAACACGACAGCAGCCCGTGGCCCAGGCCGGGGTCTGTGAAGGCAGCTAATGGAGAAGCTGCCAAGCCCAGTCCCCATCTGGGGCTCCAGCAGAGACTTTGTGCTCACTTCTCCATCCTTCTGGGACGACTGCCAGTTTACACTGCCTCCGCTCCCTCATGGTGTCATCTTGGGAAAGTCACTTTACTTCCAGAGATTCAAACAACACAACTCTAATAAGAAGTCTGAATGGCCTACAGGACAAAAGCCAGTAGAAGCCAGTGGCCTCTGCTTATCTTCCGGGCCCTGCTCTGCTCCTGTCTGGGGCCACACCAGAGCATGTCACGACCTCGCCAAACTGATTCTCACCACATCCTTGCCAACATGCTTGAACAAGAAGCTTTGATTCACCCCTGAAATTTGGATCAGGTGACCTGCCGCATGAAGCTTCCTTAGAGGCTCATGAGCTGGCGAAAGCAGGCCAACCTTCCTCTCCTACTAACGTTATGCTATTTTCTGTTATTACAATTGTTCATTAAGCCACGTGCCTGTCTCTCTCCTAAACCTTGAGCTTGCCTTAAAAAAGGATGGTACTTTACTGATACTAATACCCACCTTTCTTAGCACAGAGCCACACCCTCCTTGAATGATGGTGCTTATTAAATTACCAATGAATTAGCAAATGAGAAATTGTAAAGATGACGTATTATCTCCACAGCCACTATCACCATTGTTGGTGTGGCTACTCAAATTCATTTAGCACCAAGTCTTAGTAGAAAGTACAAAGGTATGGAGTCAGCTATATGAAATGCTGTTGGTAGACAGTTATGTTGAAATTAGGCACTCTCATACACTAATAAAAGGGATTGAAATGTGCCATATGCTCATCTTAGTACTTTGCAAATATCAACCCATGGGATTTTCATGCAGCCTCATGTGGTTAAGGGCTGTTACTAACATCAGTTTTCAGCAGAGGGAACAGATGTAGAAGGTTAAACAACTAGTTCAAGGTCAAAGGGCTAATAAGAATCTGGATTCAGGTTCAGGTGATCTGTGCTCAGGCCCCATGCTCTCCACAGCCTGGCCAGGGATTTGTGTAGAGGGTCCTTCTCCTTGACCTCTTTGACCTTATTCACACCCCCTTTGGAACCATTATCTGATTATATCAAAATTGTCCATTTGAATTGTACAGGTTTTGCTAATAGACTGTGGGTTCTTTGAGAATGAAGATCAGATTTCCTAGTACCTTTCAGACTGCCTGGCCTGTAAGAGGTGCTGACTTTTTGTAAATATTAGAGCTTTAAATGCCTACATAGTCAAACCAGCATTTCCCAGCTCTGCCATGAAGATCCCCGGTGGCCAGGGAGATGGTGAAAGTTCTTTAACAAAAACGGCCATCTTGTTTAATATTAAAATGTGATATTTATGGCCCCTCTCACATTAGACACATAAATAAAGTTATGATAGGGTCCCTCCACCAGTGAACATTTATGTCTTGGTCCTCTGACTACAAATTAATTCTCAGTAACATCCTCACCCAAGCGTCCTCATGATGCGACCTTGTGAGATATAAAGGGATTTGCATCTGCCTCTCAGCTTGTAATTTAACAGTCATTCTAGGAGTAAGAAAAAGAGGAAAGATGAGGGGGAAGGGAGCC